ATACAAACCTGCTGTTAGCATAAAACACAATGGTAGGGTGGAAAATGCAAAACATAAGCAATGTATGAGTTTATAGAAACTGTCCTCTTAATTTTGGAAAATATTCAACGCAATCTTTTTGAATGTAAAAAGTAAAAACAAAAAACCCAAACAGGTACTCTGTGTTTTAATAAGGTGAATGACATAAAGCCCATGCCCGGCTGGAATAAAGGTTAGAGTTATGAGGCATTTTTCCAACTGGTAATCAAAAGCTTTCAGTTTGTCTGTTAGGTTGATGTTAACACGATGCAAGAACTAACGGGAAATGTTTTTCTTTGGATCATCTTAATTCTTTTAATGCCACCGCTGACATAAGTCATATCTTCGCCTACGCTGCAAAAAATTGAAATCTAAATAAGTAATTTGTTCCTAAACTAAGTACGGTAAATTTTTTCTTGAATTGAGGAGGTAAGTGAGACACTTTGCCAATGGAACAAGACAATTTACGTTTAAAATAAGAAAAAGCAATTGCATTGTCTTATTTTAAGAGTAAAAATGCTCATTCTGTTGGCAAATCATCCCATTTACCTGCTCAAATTAAGGTAAAATACACTTGATTTAAGGAATTTTTACTTATTTCTAGATTGTTTTTGAAGTGTACTTCATGCTTCCAAGTGATTTCTTGATTCAACTCTCATGGTTTAGTGGTGTTTTCCCCTATTATATGAATGCCATGTTTTGATGTTTTTGTTGTTTTTCTTTAGGTCATCCTTCCCTAAATTTAAAGTTTCTTGTCGGAAACATTTTATTAAAGAAAAAGTACAAACCGGATAAATCTGCTGAAGAGGGGGGTAACTTTAAGCACCTCTTGATCTCACCTCTCCTTTTTTCCAGGTTTAACTACGGCGACCACTTCTGGGAGGTCAAAGGCAAGCTGTTGAGCTGCGAATGCGGCTCCTCGAAGTGTAAGTACTCATCGGTTGCCAGGGAGTCACTGCAGGCGGACAGCACACCAGAGGACCAGCAGCAGCCCAGCGCATTGCCCGACACTAGCTCGTCCAGCGGCACCTCCTAAAAATGGACCTGACACTGAGTCTGGTTTCACGGGGACGAAGACGAGACGGGTCCTCCCGGCTCACGTTGAACTTTTCTGAGTGAAATCGTACTGTATCTCCTCTTTCCATCATTACCAAGGACCATTCTTCTAAAAACTGTAAAACTTTCTGATCCAGATGCACAATCGAACCCTGGAACTGCTTCTTCTCTTCGTGTGTCATGTGAAAAAGATGAGGGACGCGGGGGAAAAAAAAAACACTCTGTTGCATCCACACCTTTGCTGGAAGGAAAACTGTCCTTTTTTTTTTTTTTTGCTATAAGTCAACAATGTTGTGAATGATACATTTTATTTTATTTTTTTGGTTTTGCTTCTTGGAACAGCAGCCTGAGCACACAGCGAGGTGTTAGGACCATGAACCATTCCAGCAGCGGTCAGACGATTATTACTGAACATTTGAATGCGTTTTATTGTCATTTCTTCTTTCTTGCCATGTTGGAAACAGATAAAAAAGAGATGCTCCATACGTTTTGATTGTCATAAAGGTGACAAACCATTTTGCAAAGAAATCAGTTGTCATTTGAAACAAACATGTCAGAATATTTGCCACAGCCTTTTAGTGATCCTTTAAGGAGGGAAATAAAAACACAGGAAAATGGTGCTGACAGAGGTTTTTACTTTTGTTCTCATTGTTATTACCCAAGTGAACATAGTTTGTAAAATAAAATGTTTTTACTTTTTTTATGTTTAATTTTATCCCGTTTTCTAATACAGATTTTAATTTCCAATCATTTTTTTTTTTTCATTGGCTCACAAAAGTCAAATCCATTTTTTCTTTTTTTTTACAGTTCGGAAAGCAGTGGCTGTTGTGTGAAGTCTTGAAAAAATTTATTAAATTGGAAAAAAAGTGGGATAAAATTGCACTTCCATTAACCTCTGTTACGTATTTCTGGATGATGAACCATCCGTCTGACTGGTTGTATCTTTTTCAATAAATTTATTAATGCATTGATTGTGCGGCTTCTTCAATGACCCTCAGAGTTTAATCTAAACTGGCTCAGGACTTTAATTATGTTCTATTCAAACTTCACAAACTAATTTAGAAAGATGTTTAAAGATTAAAAACAGGGTTCATACTAAGCGTGGAAAGGTCTTGAATTATCAAGCATTTTCCAGGTCTGGGAAATAATGTAAAAATAAGTCCCAACTGTTTAAATGTGGCGACCTTCCTTTCTTCTGTCCTTTACTCTTACCTTATTTGTACTCCTTCCACCTTTCCTTCATGACATTTTACATTTCCTTGCACTTTATCCTTCGCTGCTCTTCAGTGTGTCCTTCGTTCACTCATTTGTGTCCTATCTCCTTTTCTTTATCCTTCCTCTTTGTCTCCCTGATGTAATTACATCTTTCCTTATTTCTTAATTTTTCTTTTTCAGTGTCCTTTCCTTGGTTTCCTTTGTTTGTTTTTTTTTACAGATTTTTTTCTTTAATGATTTCCTTCCTTCCTTCCTTCCTGTTAATGGCTCTCTTAATTATCATTGTTTACCTTGTATGCTTCACTTCTTTTCTTCCTTGTTTCCTCATCGTTATACAATCCTTTTTTCCCTCCCTCATCTTTCCCCTGTGTTCTATCCTCCTCCCCTCTGTGCTTATCTAATTTCCTGACATAAAAGAAATTCTAGGAATCTCGCTGATATTTCATTTAAATGACAGTACCTGATAAAAAATAACACCAAGGTTTTGATCTGAGATCAATTTAATCCCATTAAAATGAAGTGACTGATTAATCAGCTTCTTTTTCAAAGACTCTGGTCCGAAGACTTTAACTCAGGCATCCCCAACCTGTGTCCTTGAAGCCCGCTGTCCTGCAGGTTTTAGAGGTTTCCCTGCTTCAGCACAGCTGATTATAATGATTGCAGTAGATCGAAAGCCTGTTAATCAGCTTTCAATTAAAATCAGCTGTGCTGGAGCAAGGAAACCTCTAAAACCTGCAGGACAGCAGGCCTCGAGGACCGAGGTTGGGGATGCCTGCTTTAACTTGTATTTTGTCTCCATTCAGAAGCTGAAAGTTAAGTCATCCATATTTTTATGTCTTCGAGACATGCTGTAGTCGATGTGATGGGTTAGCTTCATCTGGATTTATAGACTGATATTGCTGAATATTACAGGGTTTCTGCGGGTCATTAAAAATCATTAAATGTCATAAAATTATTTTTTTAAATGAAGGCCTTAATTGGCATTAAAATTCATTACCGTAAATGTGTTTATTGTGGCATTTAAAATGCGTTCTTTAAGAAAAATTAATAAAAAGAATTTCGTCAAACATATCACCATATATTTGTGTTGAACTGCTTCATGTTGATCGCATAGCCGTATGTTCAGAAAAAGCAAGAGAATGGGGTGAAAAATGCCAATTTCAACA